AAAAGTACTTTATATAATATATTACTATTAGATAAGTACATAAAATTTCTACTAGTACCTATAGATAGATATGTCTCATTTTTTTATTTTAATTGTTTATTTTACTAATTAATTCTCTTTCAATAGTTAATTTTACCTGAAATTTACTCTTGTCATTAATTCATTATAGAGATATTTCAAGAAATACTCACTTGTCAAATTAGATAACATAAACAAAGGACTTGACATATTAAATCTCTCTACCTGAAGTTAACAGAACTGTTTTTCATTTTTTTTTATTATATATTCATTGTTAAGATACAAGAACTCACATGCAGCATGAGCTATAGCATAAACAAGACCACAAGTACACATTCCTCCTCCATTTTAGGCAAAAAGCTAAGAGCTTCTAGCCCATCTTTTATGCAGCCAACTGCACCTCTTACTCTGAATCAAGCCTATCCCTATAACACAAGTGAATCCAGTTCTAGGTGAAACCAAACCTAGACAAGTAGGAAGCTACATGGAAAGTCCCACCAGAAATCTTGGCCCAATGGTACAAAAGAAACCAAACCTAATACCTACTTGTAAATTCCTTAGGAGTTCTAGTTGGCTAAGAGTAAGGCCATGAGTGCCCAGGTAGGAGCAATTCCACCAGCTATGTTGGACCCCTCACTAAGGTGGCAAGTTGTAGAAAGTGATTTCGACTAGTCCGTGACATTGGAATAACGACCAGTTGGGGGTACATAGGCTGCAGCTCTCAGGAGGAGTTGAAGGAGGTAAAGAGAGCTAGTTAGATTTGCTTCAAAGGCATGGATGCGGTAGTAAAATACCAGCTGAAAAGAGGAGCACTAGAATTCTAGCCAGGTTTGAGATGAGAGCTAGTAGGATGCTAGCTGATCAAGCCATGGTAAGAAGAGAGGAGGGGTAGAGCTAGATGCTGAAACATCTATTACAAATGAATTTGTATTTTAAGTAGGTAGCCTCCTAGAGTCCCTAATTGCTACAGGTATATTCCAATACCTCTTTTATAGTTCTTAGTTCTGGAGAAGAAAGCATCACATAGTGGATAATATACCACCACCGGTAGAGGGTAGAGATGAGGAGGGTAGCAAAATCTAAAGTAGCCTGTTAAAGAGACCATACCAACATCCCACCTGGGGTTGTTACACACTTGACCAAAGTCAGGATCATTTCTTATCTAGGAAGAGAGAAAGAAAGAAATTAATGCTAATCACGTTCCATAGATTATATTCCTGGCTATCTGTTGCAGGGAAAATGTGAAAACCTGACCCTGTTGATATACTAAGCAATACGAGAGCAAAAGTAGGAAAGAAATAACGATCAACATTATGAGATATAGGAAGGAGGGGAGGAGGATCTCCAGAAGGTAGAATCTTAGGAGAGATAAAGGGAAAAGGAGTTCAATGTAATAGCAGCATAAGAAGTGATGGAATGATATTCTGCGTGGAGGGGGAACCAGGTATAAAATGTCATGAGGAAAGTTGTGGTATTGAAGTCTTCCCAAATACGAAATAAATTTTAATCATTGGAGGTATAAGGAAGATGCTCACTATTGAGGTTAATAGTACAACTGATAATAAATGATTTGATATTGGTTCTCAAGCAGCAGTAAAATGGTATTCTTTTATTTTTAAAATAAAATAACACTAACCATGATCTGAAGTAATATTTCTTTATATTCATTTTCCCACTGCCTGCTGTACTTACATATCTGAACTTACAAGTCCTATGTGACTGCTTTTTGCTATCATACTAACTCTATCATTACCTGTCACACAGACTTTAACTTCTCATATCTACCCATATCCTTGCACTATATTTATTCGTTTCTATTAATAAGTGTATCATTTTCTATATCTCAAATTTATCTTATTCTGTTAACCCATTACCATCATTCTACTTCTCATATTTAGGGTCACAGACTTAAAAATTAATTATCATTTTCTTTTCTTAAATTTTTATTAATATGGATATACTGTCTCTTTCTTTATATTTTGAAGCTATAATAATTTTCTAATAAATCATCCAGCTTACTAATTTTCTAACCTTTATTTTGGAGCCTTTTTTTTTACTAGATTTTTTTTTAATACAAACTTACTTTTATATCATACTTAGCAGAAAATTAATTTCCCAATCATACCCTACTACTAAGACCCCCAAGTTATGTCTTACTAAATTATCTCTCTGTTGCAAATTAGGTATATACTCAATATCAGGTATATAGCATGTCCTTCATGTATTTGAAAGAGATACTTATATAGTGACAGTTTTATGATTATATAAAAAAATTAGAAATATCAAAATTATTTTTGGAAATACTAGTAGTAGCATGTTAGTTCTTTTGTATTTTTTGTTGTTTTTATTGTCTACTTTATTTCTATGCTTCCATGTAGTGTAAAGTTCACACATCCTATCAGCAGATAGCTATACAGATCTTAAACCTCCATCCTGCCTTGTTCTCCAGCTTCTAGAAGAAAAACCATGAAACTAGAAAGGATAAGATCAACTACAAGGTGTCCGATCCTCAAATCCCATGACTTGAATGTGGAGGAGCCACACTTGAGCTGTCATTACCCAACCAATGCTCAGCGTAAAAAGCTTCCCTCCTAGTCTCCTGTTCAGCTATCTATAATAGTAAAGACAAAAATCCCAAGAAGCCTATTCTTTCTAGCAAGGAAATTTCCCTTCTTGACAGTGCATTCTGAACTGAATAGATGAAAACCTAAACAAACCAAACCCTTAGCAGAAGACTATGGTCAACTTCATACCAACAACCACATATACCAGTTAGACATATAAAATCAGTATCACTCATGAAGTTGAAATAACAAGTAGGTAATATTATATAAATAGTATACATTTATCTCTTGAAAATATAGCCCATGTGGGTGCACTGGAGAAATGGTAAGGAAAGGATGCCTACTTGAAGTAGGAGGTCTGGGTGGGTTGGGAGCTGTAAGATGTCTGTCAGGATGGACTAAATATGCTACCAGAGGGAGCAAAAGAGGATAAAGTGGTAGGATGTCAGCCAATATGTTCAAAGTGAAATGGGAGGAATGACCAGAGGTGCTAACATAAACCTGATGGTAGAAACTGAACTGATACCATATTATAGTATCTCTAATGTAGTCCCTTGTTCTCTGAAAGATGGCATCAATTAGTCTGAGGGATTCTACCAGCAGTAAGGAGGGATAAGTGTGAGAGGAGGCAGGAGACTGCAGCTTAAACTAAACAACTAGGAAAGTATGATCAATTCCCACTATGAGATAGACCCAGAAGCTACCAGCTGAGGCATTCCCCAATGATGTACTTGGAGGTGGGGAGAAAGACATCTACCTCAATAAGTGCCAACTGGAAACAAAGAGAGGAAGCCAACTATGCAAATGCTAAGCCTGCTCCAATATCAAGACAGTACTACTAGGCAAGTCCAAATACCTCTCCTATTAAGTAGTCAAGAGGCAAACGAAGTAGAGGCAGGAGAGGATAGAAGAGTTAACAAGCTATGGGACAGGAACTATCAAGAGGGCTGAAGGGAGAGGGTGGTATCTATGATAGTAGACTTAGTGTTGTCAAACTATGTAGGAGGAAAATAGGAGTGACGGAGTGTGGTAGTAGGTCAGTCCTCTTAACTTATCATATCTATTATATAATTTTCAGTACAGATCATAATTATCAATTTTAGATGTAAGTATGGTAACTCTAAATTGACATAAAACTTCCTGGATAAGTCTATCAAATAAGGCAATTCAGAGGTATTAACCAGGTATGACACAGATTCTAGTACTATAGTTATTGTATCTTAGCCTCTACCAGAGTGTCAAATATTGTCTACAAATGATATTGCTTCCTCTGAAGGGTTGGGTTGATAACATGTAAAATAGCAAATCAAGAGTATTTTCTTCCTCCTCTTAGCCTACATACAAAACAAAACATGAAGTTGAAAAACCTCTGTTTTTAAAAATAAAACTTTATGTTAATACTCATTACACATGTAACCTTTGAAAATGTTTTTTATATTAATTACCTTTTAATGTAACAAAAAACAGGCACACCTGTTTAGTGTTTCGCCTCTTTTCGAGATAGCCAATCGTAAAAGGTTTTACGGTTGCCTACCGGGAGAAATCATGTCCTTTCACTGGTGATTAAGAACCCTAGCCCCAATCAAAATATTCTCGAAAATGTATATTGCGTGCATGACTCCTTTAGTTTATGGGGAAAGGGAGTGGCGTGTTTGTTTTCCAAAAGTTTCGTTGCTTGTCTGTATTATTTGATACAATGTCATAGTTGTGTTAATGTTGCCGCACCGGTGGACTTTTCCAATGATCGCCACTTCGCGTGCCCAGCGTGGCACCCACCTTCAGTGGTTGTCTCCACGACACTCGCGCTCCCATGAACAACTCCTCGAACAAAGGCTGCGAACCACAACAGTAGATTCATCACCTTCCGTCTTCCTTCCTTTCCTCCACCTCCACTCCCCCACCACAATTCTCCTCACTCTGCCCTGACCCCACAAAAAATAACTCCGCTAACAAGGAGACACAATATCAACATTGAACATGCCTCGCAGAGTGGTTATCGCGCTGCTTGTCACCGGCGTACGTTCCCCTTTAATCGGCAAGATGAAGAGTAACGAAGCTAACGAGAGTGTTCAGATGCTAGTGACAGGCGTTGCAAATACCTTGTTGACAAAGTATCAAGATAATCAGTGTGTTCGTAACTGCGAAGACCCAGGTATCTCCAAGCGCTTTGAGCAGCCAGTCATGCAGACGTAAGCACTACTACGTACCGTACTTGTTCCTATCTAGTTACAAGTACCATTTGTGGAAAGATGAAAGCTGATCGGGTGACCAATAGGCTACAGATGTTTATCGGCGAGATGGGTACATTTTCCTGCTTGGAGCTGAAGGTGTTTTACTGACTGTAAGGCAGGATGTTGGTTGATCGTCGGGCTCTTTTCCTTCAAACAATGCATTCGCAATCGTCAGCGCAAAACCGCCGGGTACGAGCCTGTTGGTGCGGAAGATGATGCTCCTGCTGGACCTGCCGATGGGACTTCCAGCCCGAGTCCTGCTGTCAAACCGTTGGCACCAAGCCTTGACGGGCGTTCTCCAATTTCCGGGGTGAAGGTTTTTTTGCTTGCCATTCCAGCTTGCTGTGACATTGCGGGAACTACGTAAGTGGTCTAGTGATATGAAACGGAGAGTTGGCTGAAATACCTTAGTCTTATGAATGTCGGGTTACTCTTCGTTGCTGCGAGTAGTATGTTACCAACGCTGTTGCGCTTCAGCTCTATGCTAACTGGGATTCTTAGTCTACCAGATGACCCGAGGCGCTCTCGTGCTTTTCGTTGGTCTTTTTAGTGTTCTTTTCCTCAAGCATCACCTACGGGGTTTTCACTGGTTCGCTCTCTTTATTGTCGTGATTGGTGTCGGCATTGTCGGTCTTGCTGGTGCTCTTTGGAAAGAGGAACCGCCGGTTAAGGGCAACCATCTCTTGGTTACTTCAACTCCTGACGTTCCGATTGCTGTCCAAACAATTATTGGTGTTCTTCTCATTGCAGGAGCTCAGATATTTACTGCTGCCCAGTTTGTTGTTGAACAGTACATCCTCGAGCATTATACCATAGAACCCTTGAAAGTTGTTGGCTGGGAAGGAATTTTCGGATTCCTTGTCACCGTCATCGGGATGGGGATCCTCCACTTCACCATCGGTCAGACACCTAAGGGGCGGTATGGCTACTTCGATGCTGTCGAGGGCTTTAGAGAGATTACTCAGTACAGGGAGGTTACCCTCTCCTCAATCGCCATCATGATCTCGATTGGTGGATTTAATTACTTTGGTATATCTGTCACCCGTTCAATCTCCGCCACTGCTAGGAGTATCATCGACACCTGCCGCACCTTGTTTATCTGGATGGTATCTTTGGCACTTCACTGGGAGAGCTTCAAATGGCTTCAGATCGTTGGATTCTCACTCTTGGTTTACGGCACTTTCTTGTTCAACGGTATTTTAACTGCTTTGCTCATAACTCGCTGTTTTATTGACTAGTTTTTTAGAACTCACTCCACCACCATTCATCTTTTGCCTTTCTAGAAGATACAATAGAGGGGAACTCCGGAGAGAACAACATGAGAGGGAGAGGGCTAGACAGGCTTTACTTCCCGGTGCCACTGATTAGACTCCATTAGATATTTGGGAACAATCACACCAACAGGGCAGTGATTGCGGCGTGGTTTGGCGTAGTGTTGTGAGGTCTTGTTCTGCCTTTTCTTCATTCTTTCATGCTATGTTTGTTTTTTTCTCTTTCTTTTATGGTGTGCTGAATGGGGATTGAATCGCAATTGTTGGGCGTGGGAGTTGGGATTGGCGGAGTGATGTTGAATTGTTCCAAATTGTTACAAGTTAAACTGCGGGGATAAAGAAATCAGGATTAGGATAACCTACATATGCTCGTGATATGATAAATCCAGAAAAAACTAACGCAGATAATACATATCCCATACATACAGTCGCACCCGCGATTGGATAAAATCTGGCAAAACCAAGATGATCCTTCAGAGACAACGGATTTAGGTTCTGGTGCAAAAGCAAAGCACAAAGTAGGGAATTTCATCCCGGACAATATCAAGGTTTGGTACAGTACTCGGATATGGAGCAAAAATCGAGGATGACAGTGATATGATGAGGGATGTCCGGAATCTTACAGATCAGGATTTTGAAGAGAAAGGGGGACAAGAGGAAATTAAAACCCAGAGTAGTTGCAATTTCAAATAAAGAGCCAACAGACAGCTACTGCATACATGTGTGCATCTGAATACAAATTCCATCTTACAAAACATTCAAATATCAAATACAAGCACTAATAGTATAGAGTCAGCCATGCTCCGTGCCCTCTATGCACCTCACTTCACCACATTTGATAAGATGAAAACGACCAGATTTTGGGTGACAACCAGGATACACGAATTTCCACCTTATGCTTAGGCTGCAATCTATAAAGCGACACCCCTCCATTCCAATGCACAACCTCCCAGCTATGAGTCAAAGCCGTGGCGAGACACCAGGGGCTTACAAGCAATCTTTTCCTGATGTAGCCACTTGTTGGAATTACTCCTTGATCACTCCAAGGATATATCCGTCCAATTTGTAACTTGTCTTGTCGTAAAAGTAATACAGGTAATTACATGCTTGTATTTTAATATAGTGATCATCTCATAGTTGTCTCCTGCTGCTTAAGAAAATTCCTCTTATTTTCTTAGGAACTCTGACAGCAACTATTATTACTATATTTGTCATAGGTTTTCCTTAACGGCATTACATGAGGCGTGAATATGAAGTAATATGAATGAAGATATATGCTAGGAAATAATAGAGATGGTTCAATCTAATTTTATTTATACTAGTCACACCAGCAATGGTGTAGGACAAGTCCAGGGCTAGCAGATGCCACGGTTAGTGCATCGCCAGTGGTTGAAATTTCTTTCCTTACTTAGTTGTATTTCAGATAAAACCTGTCCTCAGCCGACATTATTACAGCTGGGTCACATTTTTGCTAATCTCATAGATATTTCATTGAACAGGGACAGGAAATTTATATGTGATTTTCTTACTTGATTACTGGATAAATGGGATTTTTTTATCTCTTATGCACGTTTATACATGTTGATTACAGACTAGATTTGTGATATTTCCTTAATATTTTCTGCACACCAGCTTAGATTTATGCATATTTTTAGGATTTTTCTTGGCCGGTTTTCCGGATCAAACACATTCACACTTATGTTTCTCTGCTGAGAAACATACTTCTACTTATGTTTCTCTGCTGAGAAACATACTTCTACTTATGTTTTTCCAGATTATATTTCTTTTACTATGAGTTGGCACATACCTGTGTGTATACGGACTATGGTCCACATATTTCATTCAGGAAAAGTAAGGAACAGAACCTCTACCAATCTAGCTTCAAACGATACCACTCCACATAAAATGTGTTCACTATATGCTTTAAATATTGTATAGTTTATCCAAGAAAGATATACTATCATGCCTCTTAAGTCATAATTACGAATACTGGTAACTACTACTATCTATGAACTAACTAAACCTCCAGTCATGTACCGCAATTATGTACCGACTATGCCTAAACACAAAAACCAAATACAAAACTATCATAGTATAGAAGGTTCTGTCTAAAGTGACAATGTAAACCTTCAAGTCTAGGCCCACCCAACCAGGCCAGGTAGCAGAAGTCACAAGACCTCCTCACATAGTTAGAGTTGAGTATAGTACTAGCCCCTCAGGTTTATTGTATAAAAACACATTATAAAACCTCCACCTCAAGTATAAATACAATCATGCAAGCCTCTTCAACAGTAGAAACCGTCCTGAGTAAGGCCACTAGGTGAACTCTCTAGAACTCCCTCAATACTGGTAAATGAAAGAAACCTAAGAGTGGTAACAGACCATCAAGGTCAGTGGATACTATTAATCAAGCTCAGGGTTTGTCCAACCAGGTCCTCTGCCCTAGTATTCTATCATTTACCTGCAAGAAAAGTTGTGTTGATACCTTATACCTAACCCACAAACGGCATCCAACCTGAAGCTTTTTCTGTAATTGTTATGCTGAGATAATTTGTAGACTCAGATTTGTCTAGGTCAATTAAGATTCTTTTAGTAGATAGAAATTTGTCTGGGAAGACACAAAAGATTACTCATTTCATTTATAACTACTCAGAGTAAAGTAAAGTAAAATTGAATTGTGTAAACTATATTATATTATTAAGCTTTCTTGACTATTTTGCAATAATGTTAAAAAGCTTAGGAGGGACTTCAAGACTTATATTTTGTGTCTAAGTCTTTGCGGACTATATCTATCTCTCATACAAATTATGTACCTCTTTAACTATAACTTGCAATATTAGTTTTTCTCTACAAGTGCTACTACTAGAAGATCCAGGAAACCATCACACCCTCTACAGTAATTACTATTTTGCCAATTGGGAACTGTCCTGTATCCAATAGTAATTATCTAACCTTGTAAGTTATTAGACATGTGGCCAGGTTTACAAGTGAAATTGTGTTGGTCCTAATTGTCTCCCTATTGATGAAAGGATTAGTTTCATGCCTGGGTCATATCTGCAGAAGTAGTTATATATGTAACTTTCTTTTGTTGCTGAGCAACAAAATGGAACCTCCATTACTCCTGATTGAACCAACAGATACTTTATAGATGAATGGCTACAAACTTTCAGGAAGCCATTCTAGAGGGTTGGCAGATAATCCCACCATCAGCAACTTCATATTGTTCTTGGTACTAGAGCTTTAGTCGTTGTTTGATATTGCAGTTAATTCTAACAACTAAGATGCATCCCTTGACCTTCTTGTAATACCCCACAAAGTCCATTGTCTGCTTTAGTAGTATCCCGTGGATTTCTGAACTTTTCAAATTATTCTAGGGTAGATGCAAATATGTTAGCTCTTCCCAGAGATTCTCTAACATTCACTATCATATCTTTGTGTGAAACTGTCCCGTTAATAACAGCTCATGGCAAGGATTTTCGAATTTTGATATCTTGTAACTCTCTGGGTAAATGATAGGCTTACTTCATTGCACTTTCCAGACCTTGTTGAATGTTTCTTGACATATACCTAGGGGACTGGATCCAGTCGTAGAAATAGTAGCGATGCAAAAGGTGAGATTCTGACACCTTCATGTGTGTGGCGTTATAGTTACATGATGCAACCAAGAGATAAGTATGATGACAAGCAAGCCCTATTGTTAGGAGTACCAGGATTGGAGACCTAAAAACTACCCTAAGTAGGGTAACCCCACAAGAAATCAGAATTCCAGGTCTTTAATATCTCCTGTCACCCTTCTTGGACCTGTATGTTATTATATAGTTACTAGACTTAGGTCTTAGTGATGGCAACATCTGGAATACAGTCTGTACACAGGGGTAGTATTGTAGAGCCCGGGAATAATATTAGAAACATAGATTAAACATTATATACAACTAGTACTTCATATACTACCCAGTTGCATCAATTACAGTTGCTATAAGAGATGGCATCAATTTTCAAAGTTTCTTGAAAATTCTATACAGAATGGTAGTCCAGACATAGGATAAAGCCCAATCTAACCTCTCACATACCTTTTCAGGTCCTCCTTTGGTGTCTAGAATGTCTGTATACTGCCTGTGAAGGTATTGTTTATGCTCCACTCAGGCAAGATAAATTGGGTTATGATCAGGAGAGAGTAGAGGATTATCTTCCAGATCGATACCATTTT